TTGCTCAGAGATGAGGCTGCTGATTGTATCTGGATACTGCCTTCAGCTGGCCAGACTGTCTCTCAGAGGATTGTGTGAAGAGTAGCATGAGTCCTCTGCGATTTTAGGTTTCAAACCAAGAGACCCAAAGCAACAGATGGCAGGAATGAGAGGCAGGCACTGCCTTATGGTCCGGAATTACACAAATTGAAACAAGCATTTCATCTCCCCTCCCTCCCTCCCTCCTTTCTTCTTTCCTTCCTTTCTGAGACAGAGTCTTGCTATGTAGCCTTGGCTGGCCTCAAACTCAAAATCCTCCTGCCTTAGCACCCCCTAGTAGTGGGATTACAAGCATGTACCACCATGCCTAGTTTGTTTTGTTTTGTTGAGACAGGGTCTCACTACTTAGCTCAGGCTGCTTTCTAACTTGTGTGCTGGGACTTAGGCATGTACCACCATAGCTGACTGCAAGCATAACTTTATTGGTTACCACTTTATCACTGTAAGTTCTGGGAAGTACTTCTAGGAAACTCCTCCAAACTCCTTGGCCAGCTCTTAACATTCAAGACAGGGTACCACACAATGTGGTATATGGTTTCCAAAATTTGTTATATGCGAACACCTTGAGGTTGTGCCGTTCTGAGTTCCACCTATACTAGTACTGAACCTAACATTTTAAAGTTAAATTTCTTTCTACTTAAATCTTTTCAAAGCAGATTTATTTTACAAATGTGATTAGTGAACAAGTATCAATTGCCCTCACAGGTTTTTTTTTTTTTTTTTTTGGTTTTTGGCAGTACTGGAGCTTGAACTAAGGCCTTTAAGCCAATTGAGCCACACCCCCAGTCTTTTTTTGCTTTGATTATTTTGGAGACAGTGTCTCCCTTTTTTCCCAGGTCAGCCTGGACCTCAATCCTCTTATTTTAAGCTTCTGACTGCCTTCTACTGGGATGACAGACATGTATCACCATGTTTTTCCATGGCAAGTTCTTTACTATCCCACTTGCTGTAACTTAACTCAGCTAGGTTTAACTTGGCACCTCACCTCACCATTGTCCACACAGTGCTCCATATGGCCCACTCCTGACCTAGTGTCACTTGTCCTCTCATTCTCAATTTTGCCCTGAATCTTTGGTGACCTTCCTTCTCCAAAATCAGTCTCTTCCTGTGTACCGCTTCTGCCTCTGTTATCTGAAACAGGGGGTAGCTCTGGGGACTCTTCTTCCCAAGCAACTCTAGGGACATTTCTGTTTTCTTACACCACCCAGGACTTCTGAGGTCCAAGTTAGGGCTGAGGTTCTCTAATATCCCCCACTGTCATATCCTGACCATGAGCCCTCCCACCCATTCTTTTGAAACAACCCTATCCTTTGAGATGCACTCAGCATTCCTCTCTCTCCTTGCCCTTACCTATTCCTCCAGACAATACCTCTCTTTCACTTAAGACTTACACACCTGGCCCTCACATTCTACCCAAAATGCAAAACCCTTGACATCCTTGTCATCCTTGGAACTCCCCTCCCCACCATGCCTCAACCACTTTCTTCCACACTTGTCACCCAACAGCCAAATGCTGCCAGAGAAAATAAGCATTCAACAAGACAGACTGGATCTACTATGATCTCCACCGTCTACAATTGCTTTCTCACACCCTCTCCCCCCCACCCCAGGACATTCCTTTATCATCTGTTTCATAGAGAAATTAGGTCAACAAATGAAACATTTACAATATCACTCTGCTGACCTACAGACATATGCGTCACCACACCTCCCTTTGCTAGAGTCCCTCCTGTCACCACATTGGAAGTGTCTTTCCCAAAGAGCCAGCCCTCTACCTGTGCTTTCAGTCTTCTCACCTTCTCAGGAGGCTTACATAACCATCAAACACCCCTATTTGATCTTTGCCAAGGTAGGTCTTAATGAGTCTCATTTATCTCAAAGGATCCCAACTCTTATTTTGGGCACCTTAGAATTGGCCTGCTTTTCCATCCCTGGAAGATAGTGAATTTCTGGACTCTCTCAATTCTCTTTCAGTTTTTCCTGCCACCCAGCAAATTTCCTGAGTTCATCTCTTTCTTATAATACTTTGGCAGAAGTACCAATAACTTCCAACACCCCTTGTGGCAGATGCCTTCTACATGTTCCCCAGACCCTCTCTCTACCCCACTCCATTATCCAGTCTATAAGGCCTACATCAGTGGACTACCTTGCCCTCTGGATCCTGGTTGACTTGAGGACCCTGGAAAGAGAGAGGAGGCAAGGAGGAAGATATAAGGGTATTTATTCCTGGGCTCCTTCTTAGCAAAGTTGTCTGGAGCGGCTGCCTCCCTCTAACTGAAGGTCACCCTTTATTGAGGCCATTTTCATGCCACCTTTCTCTTCCTCTGGTGTATCTGCTCCCTCAGTCAACTTCTTGAGTGCAGCCATGTAGTTGGTAGGCCCTGGCACTGAAATAGTTCCTAGGGTGTTCTGCCTTAACTTTCTAACTTGTCCTTTGATTGAGGTCTCCTTGAATTATCTTAATTTGAATTAACATCTGTTTCTTTTTGGGTCCAACTGATGTGCATGTGAACACATAAACATTTTCTTTCCACATTTGCATGTGTATGTTCCTGAGGATTAAACTCAGGGCTAGGCCAAGTACCCTACTACTTGAGCCACATTCCCAGTCCTTTTGCTTTTAGGTTTTGTTTTCAGATAGGGTCTTATGCTTTTGCCTAGGCCAGCATCAGACCTTGATCTTTCTACCTCTACCTCCTGAGTAGCTGGGATTGCAGTCCATGGACCACCACACCTGGATCTTTCTTTTTTTTTTCCTATTGTGACTATGATTCATTTGGTTGTAAATCAAGAAACTTAACCTAACCTCTTTTCAGAAAAAAGTAGGCATTTATTATCTTGATAATGAAAGGATGCCAAGAACAGGTATACAGTTGGGCCTCAGGGGAGTTTAGAATTAAGTGGTCATTAGTCCCTCTCCACAGATTCCACAAAGCAGAAATCATATATAGAAATTTGAATCTTGAATTCTACTACCAACTTCTTAGGTTCTAGGTATCAGGCTTCTATATTATTAAATTTTTCTATTAATTTTGCTCATTTTTCTGAATATCTGTGTGTTCAGAGTTCACAAAGAAAAAGATGAGACGGATGCCTTTTGGGGGAGTGAGAGTACAGGCAGAGGGGAGAGAAGGTGTGAAAAGGCAGTGATGGAGAATGGAGATCAAGTTCCCAAGGAACTGTAGTACGATTGCCAGACAGAGCTGAGGTAGGTAATCATGATTTCATAGAGAATCCAATTTCCTTGTGGTATGACTTTTCTCTAGCAGCATTTGGTTGCTGGAGTGAACATGTGTGAAAAATGAGCTATTGCATCGGAAATAGAGGTGGGGATTTTTCCAGACTTTCCTAGGTACAATAAAATGCAGAGAGGGAAGAGCTTAAGACACTGATAAGAGTGCTATGCTACTACTTACCAGGGGCCAGAGGCTCACACCTATAATCCTAGCTACTAGGGAGGCAGAGATCAGGAGGATCATAATTTGAAGCCAGACCAGGAAAATAGTTTGGGAGATCTTATCTCAAAAATGCCCTATATAAAAAAGGGCTGGCAGAATGGCTCAAGTGATAGAGCACCTGAACTCAAGTGCGAGGCCCTGAGTTCAAGCCCCTGTACAGCAAAAAACCAAAAAAAACAAAACCCAAAAGAGTGTTATTGCGGGATCTCAGCTGTCTACAAAGAGAGGATACAGGACCACGGATTGGGAGAAAGTGGGTAAATGAAAGGACTTGGGGGTCCTAATAAGGTATAAGAACCATGATATATGGAAGAGTTGAGCAAAACTATATCAATATGTACTTATCTACATACACAAATAGAAAATATATATGTTTCTTGTTAGAGCATTCCCTGCACTATATAAAGAAACATTCTTACTCAAAAGGACATGCACAAAATGATGTAGCTATAATTCGGTTTATTTCAACATATTAAACCAAAACACAACGATTTCTTTCTTTGGAAAAACCTGAATTCTCTATAGGAAGGGTTGGTTTGATTGACCATAATGTATTTTAGCAAAAGTTTCTATATACACTGTAGATACTAATTAAGTTTGCTAAATGACTAGACATTTGGAAAATCAAAATGAAATTGTAAACCAGAGTTAAAAACGTAAGTTAAGAATATTATGAATTTACTTATCTGTACAAAAAAAAGTCATTCTCCAGTCTTTCATTTTTACATATATTTTCTTTAACAGAATTAAGCCCCAAATTTGCAGAATTTATTAAATCCTTTCTCCCTAAAGCTTCAGGAATATCAGGTTCTCCTTTAAGCCTATAACTTTCTTTTTATTTCCTTTATTCATGTGAGCCTATAACTTTTTGCAAGGGAACAGACCATGTAAAGGGAAATGATGAGGACCAAAACTAGATTTCACCTCTGTGTCTCTCCTTAGGCTTTACTACAGAGAGTTCCTGAGTTGGCTTACCAATGCACGTGACTTGGCTCAAATATGATGGCTGATTTTAGAACTAATCTGGCTTTCATACAGACCATCAGCAGATTTTTTTTTTTAATCACTGAAAATCAGTTTGTGACATTTAGTGCTTAAACTATACAAAGGAAATCTGGGGATTCTAAGACAGTGAAATTAGCATATTTAAATGTGAAGTGCAAAATTAGGAATATTAAATATTTTTAAATATGCAAACTGCTGCATATTTTCAGTAATCACTTTTCCATACACACCTGGTACACACCTGCAGTCCCAGCCCTCGGGTGACTGAGACAAGAAGATCATTTGAGCCCAGAAGTGTGAAACCAGCTTGAGCAAGATAGTGAGATCCCCTTAGTGAGTCTGAATTAATATTAGAGTTGGCATCACCCTCCACAGCCATGTTCTTGAGCTGAGGATTGGAGGAATACCAAATGGAAATTTTATTTTAAATAAGGAAGTGAATAAATAAGTAAAAAAGAAATTTAGCTATGGTGTAACCCTAGCATTCAGGAGGCTGAAGAAGGAGGATTGTAAGTTCAAGGCCAGCCTGGGTTATGTACTGAGACCCTGTCTCAAAAAAAAGAAAAAATAATAAAGTAGAAAAAGAAAGAATAATCTGAACATTCCAAAATGAGACAACTGTAAAATTTTTATATAAGAAGACATGACTGGGGTCAGCCTATGTTGTAAGAGTAATTGTTTATTATTGTATGTAATTTTATAGAAAAACCCAAGCCCAGTCTAAAAGCACTGATCAAATGGACTTTCCAGTCCTTCTAGCCACAATTCTACATGCTGCAGTGAAATGTCTCTAATAAAGGCAGGTTATCATAAAAGTTTTAGTTTCATATTCCTAAATAATACACTTAACTTTAATTATAATAGCAATGATTTAAATACATGTGCTGTAAAGCAGGAAAAGTTGTAAACATACTCGTAATTGTTTTCTTTACCTACAAGATCATATTAAAAAGAGATTCCACAACTTCTTGATTCTTTAAGATCTAAGAACCAAAGTAACTAAGAACAATAAATAAACGTGCAACCTGCAGGCATGGAAAAGAGTATAGACTATGGAATATAATAAGCCAGTGTATTAAAAATCCAGTACTTCAGTAAGATTTCTTCTTCCAAAAACAGTTGTGCTTATTGGTACTATAAATAAGCTTCACATTAAGGTACGTGTCATTACCTATGACAATGATTTGGATTTAAAGTTAAGGGAAAATGTACGGTAAAACTTTTTTCTTTCTTTTTGATATCATTATAGATGTTACCAGTTTTAAATATTTTACATAGCAGTAGAAAAATATCTTTGAACATATTACCTGAGTAAAGCTCAAATGTCTCCCTATGATATTTTGATACTCTAAAATGTCACACACATTAATACTATGGTAGTATAGGAAACAGACAAAAACAAATCAAGATGGATGGCAAAGAACTAAATTTAAGAGATGTGACAACCTCTAAAGAAGTTATTCTGTAGGGACAGTGACTATGAAATCATGGCCAAGTCATTTAGCTTCTCTGACCCTCATTCTCTCCATCTGTACTGGTTCAGTAATAGTTTCTCGATCAAGCTTAGAAGGTTTTGGTGTAATCAAATGGGAAAACATTTAGCAAATTGGGAAGCATGGAATAAGTGAGCACTATCACCTTCAGTTAAGATATGTTTCTGATATTCTCTGTAATATACAGTTATGACCTGCTCCTGTTGCATTCACTGGAGAACTCTCAGTTTTGATCAATTAGATAGGTGCAGAATAAATGAGGCAAAACTTAAAGAGGAAATTTCTAATTTTTAGCTTCTAGAATTTTATAAGGTGCAGTTTGCTGTGAGTAGGGAGCCACTACTTGGTAGAGGCTCAGATACTTCTTGATAGTTTATAAAAATGAGGAGAGAGTAGACTTCCCGACACCCTAGATCCTGGCCTTTTCTCCATCTCCCCTAAAGAGACCTCTATCTGTTACCATGCAGCATACATAAGTCCATTAAAAGAAGGCTTTCTTATAACAAAAGAATTTTGAGAGTATAAAGAAACAAAGCTGAAGTCAATCTCTAGTACCTTCCTCAGCTTGGCACCAATTTGAAATGGTTCAATAGTTCAAAAATCCCTTCCACATTTTCTCTTCCTTAGTCCATTTCCTGTATGTATAAATGGTTCTAGGCCAGCTTTTTCCAAACCATGTTCCGAGGAACTCTGGCTTTGGGAGATGTTAACAGGTTATGTGTTCAGCATGTTTGGGATATAGAAGGGAAACGCACTGCAGACTTCCCTAGTCTTTGATGTACAGTCATTCTACGGAGGGATAGAGTGTACAACATTTCCCAAACTCAATTTACCATTGAATCTCATTTTTTTGGGGGAGTGGAAGGCGAAGTGCTGGCATTTGAACTCAGGACCTCACACTTGCTAGGCAGGCACTCTACCACTTGAGCCACTCCCATCAGCCCTTTTTTCTGTTGGGTATTTTCAAGAACTATTTGCCTAGGCTGTCTCTAGGATTGTAGATATGAGCCACAGGCACGCAGCCAAATCTCTTTTTCTACCACAAGCAAGAGGCCCTGAGTTTAAACCCCAGTACCTCCAAAAAAAAAAAGAAAAAAATCTAGAGGGTCAACAGCTCTGAGAATATTTTGGGAGAACACTATTCTAGCCAATTCACCCTGGTTCCAAATGCTCCAGGGTTAAATCTGGCAACAGTTATCTTTTTAATTCCTAAAGAATCATGTTGCTAACAAGGTCCACTGCTATGGCAAACTCCTGGGTTCCGCCCCATTAAATATCCTTCCCCAAGCATCAAGAACTAAATTTCTCCTACTACATACTGAGAAGTTCTAAGAAGTGATTCCTGTGTTGATGAGAATTATTATCTTTCTAAGGAAATCCTTATATTCGTCCCCTAACATTAAAGAGAGGAATTTTACATCTTGGGACCTAGAATCACAACTACTTTGAGAGGACAGCATTTTATTACAATGTCACTGCAATTAACCCCATCAATAATAATAAAATTAGTAGTAACATTGGCAGCAGAGGTATATATATTGGTTAAGCAGTTAGTTTTGCATCGTAATTCTCATATCACTTTATGAATTTAAGGACCTACTATTATACCCATTTAAAAGATAAGTACACTGAAATTTACAGAGATTACCTGACATGCCAAGGGTCACACAAAGGAGTAAGGGTAGAACCTCAAACTCTTATCTGACTCTTCAACCCATGCTCTTAATACTATCTTATATTCTAGTGACAATTTTATTATTTTTTGGCGGCTGGGATTTGAACTCAGGGCCTTGCATTTGCTAGGCAGGTACTCTACCACTTCAGCCATGAGCTCAGCCTGACCCCCCCAAAAAAAAAATTTAGGTCATATTCTTGTTGCTGTCCAGGAAAGTGACAGTGTATTTACATAAATCCAACTTGACTCCAATTTGGTTTTAGACTCCCTTCTGATCAAACTCTCATTCCCTTAAAAGAGATACTTAAAGTTTTGTTTTGTTTTGTTTAAAAACCAAAAGCAGAGAAAAACAGACTGCTATTTACCAGTGACAGGTTTGCAGGTTTTTAAATAGGGGAGGTTTTTAAAAATCTGCATCCAAGGTGAAGACGTTATCTGTGGTTTCCGCCATAACTGCAAAACGCTGATACTCTGAAACTCGTTTCTCAAAGAAATTTGTTTTCCCTTCTAAAGAAATGTTTTCCATAAAATCAAAGGGATTTTCTGCCTGAAAAACCTGAAAAGAAAAGAAATGTCATTAGACATTCTGAAGAAGTCAAATTAATATCACATAAGAAGAGGGGGAAAAAACCCAAGAACTGTCTAGTCACTGATAGGGTTGCAGTGTTCCCCTAAAGGTCCTGACAAATTTTCAAACGACTGACGTCACCCACTAACCTCCTCAAGAAACTGTACTAGCGTCCCTGGTATCCTAAGAAATAGGAAAAAAATTTATTTCAAGAAATGAAAAAAATGTTTCTCTTGATGTGTGTGAACTGGGATTTGAACTCGGTCTCGTGCTTGCTAGGCAGGCACTCTACTGCTTGAGCTTTGCCTCCAATCCTTTTTGCTCTGGCCATTTTGGAGGTAAGGCCTCACTTTTTGCCCAAGCCAAAAAGTGTTGTAGAGCCTTTTCTACAGTCCTCCTATTTTAAGCTTCCTGCAATAGCTGGGATGACAGGTGTGCACCACCATTTCCAGCTTTTTCCCACTGAGATAGGGTCTCATGAAGTTTTCTTGCCCGGGCTGGCCTGGAACCATGAACAGCCTGATCTCAGCCTCCCAAGCAATTAGGACTACAGGCATGACCCATCAGCAGTCGGCTAGGTAATGAAATATTTAATACTGATTGAAGGAATGTGTTTTTTTTTATTATTTTGTTATTCATATGTGCATACAAGGCTTGGGTCATTTCTCCCCCCCAGCCCCCACACCCTCCCTTACCACCCACCCTGCCCCCTTCTTCTTCCCCCCACCCCCTCAATACCCAGCAGAAACTATTTTGCCCTTATTTCTAATTTTGTTGAAGAGAGAGTATAAGCAATACTAGGAAGGAACAAGGGTTTTTGCTGGTTGAGATAAGGATAGCTATACAGGGCATTGACTCACATTGATTTCCTGTGCGTGGGTGTTATCTTCTAGGTTAATTCTTTTTGATCTAACCTTTTCTCTAGTTCCTGGTCCCCTTTTCCTATTGGCCTCAGTTGCTTTTAAGGTATCTGCTTTAGTTTCTCTGCGTTAAGGGCAACAAATGCTAGCTAATTTTTTAGGTGTCTTACCTATCCTCACCCCTCCCTTGTGTGCTCTCGCTTTTATCATGTGCTCAAAGTCCAGTCCCCTTGTTGTGTTTGCCCTTGATCTAATGTCCGCATATGAGGGAGAACATACGATTTTTGGTCTTTTGGGCCAGGCTAACCTCACTCAGAATGATGTTTTCCAATTCCATCCATTTACCAGCGAATGGTAACATTTCGTTCTTCTTCATGGCTGCATAAAATTCCATTGTGTATAGATACCACATTTTCTTAATCCATTCGTCAGTGGTGGGGCATCTTGGCTGTTTCCATAACTTGGCTATTGTGAATAGTGCTGCAATAAACATGAGTGTGCAGGTGCCTCTGGAGTAACCTGTGTCACAGTCTTTTGGGTATATCCCCAAGAGTGGTATTGCTGGATCAAATGGTAGATCAATGTCTAGCTTCTTAAGTAGCCTCCAAATTTTTTTCCAGAGTGGTTGTACTAGTTTACATTCCCACCAGCAGTGTAAGAGGGTTCCTTTTTCCCCGCATCCTCGCCAACACCTGTTGTTGGTGGTGTTGCTAATGATGGCTATTCTAACAGGGGTGAGGTGGAATCTTAGTGTGGTTTTAATTTGCATTTCTGGAGGAAATGTGTTTTGACATCTTAAGAAATCCAGTACACCATAAAAGCTATGTGCATTTGTCACAGGTGTTACCATTAGGTTGTCACCTATATATGATCTGCCAAATGCTAAATTATCAACAATGTTCTATGATTCTAAATATGTTTCTTAGTTCCTAAGGGAATATATAATCAACAAATTGTCATTAAGGGACCATGATTAGGGGAGATGAAATAACTTTTATCCAAAGTGGCTAGCTGTCTGCCAACAAAAGGTGGCATGTGTGCTGACATGAAGCTTTTTAACTGCTTCTGAATTCTAGATGCACAGCTGGAGATACAGCTTGATGGGAACCATGAAATATTTCAGTGACTCACAGGTGCAATGAAAGCATTTCTGAATTCAGGAGAATCACAACAGGAATTACGAACATCACAGCCAAGAGTAAATTCAAATAACCCAATTTCAAAAGCAGGCAGAGAATCTGAATGCCCAGAGACTCTTCTTCAAAGAAGATACAGAAAAGACCAACAAGCACATGAAAGGATGTTCAACATGCTATCCATTAGGGAGATGCAAATCAAAACCACAATGAGATACCACTTCATACTTACTAGGCAGGCTATGACAAAAAAAGGTAACTGTTGGTGAGGATGTGGAAAACTGGAACCCTCACACACTACTGGGAATATAAAAGTGTCCAACCATGTTGGAAAACAGTTTGCAGTTCTAAATTAAATGCAGAGTTACTACATGATCCAGCAACTTCAACCCTAGATATATACTCAAATGAAATGAAAATGTATGTCTACAGGGCTGGCGGAGTGGCTGAAGTGGTAGAGCATCTGCTTAATAAGCATAAGGCCTTGAGTTCAAACCCCTGTACCATCAAAAAAGAGAAAAGTCTATAAAAAACCTTATATGTAAGTGTTCATAGCAGCATTATTCATAGTAACAAAAAAGCAGAAATGATCCAACTGCCTATCAACTAGTGAATGGGCAAATAAAATTTAGTATATGCATATAATGGAATATTACTCGGTCATAAAATGAAGAATCAATGCACTAAGGAAAAAAAGAGAGCCACAAAAAGACATGCATTAAATAATTCCATTAAAAAAGATAAAAATTCCATTTATAGCAAATGGAATATACAGTATAGACAAATGTATAAAGACAGAAATTAGACTAGTGATCACCTAGACCGGGGGTCTAGGCATAGGGGAGGAAGGGGAATGAGTGATGGCGATAGGAATAGAATTTCTCTTTAGAGTGATAAAAATATTCTAAAATAGATTGTTATGAAGGCTGTTCAACCTTGAATATACCAAAAATGATTGAATTATAAATTTTAAATAGGTGAGTTGCATGCTGCTTGATTTATATATTAATAAAGCTTTAAATATATGTGTCTATACATATATCTATATACAGACACATATACAGTTTTTAAAAAGTCGTATGCTGTGTGTGGCTGATGCTGAATTCTGTGAAACTTGCCTGTCAGAAATTGTTTAAGAATGATGAAGTTTTAGTCTATAACACACAGCAAAACACAGTGGAAAGAGCACTGGATTGTAACTGGGGACCTTTAAAAAGCAGATCTGAAATATTTATGGCATATACAAGGTAGCTGAGACCAAACTAAATTGAGTGGCTTGTGTTTAGCACACAGAAGTGCTCAAGTACTCTTCGACTTGTCTTAAACCAAAGAAGAAGTTAACAACTTCATTAATACGGCTAAATAATTTATTTAATTATGTGAAATAAACAATAATAATTTAAATAATTGATACTTTAATAAATAATAATTTAAGTAATTGCCTTACCAAGAACTATATCATTATAGGAATAGTTCTTTTTCTAGCTCCTTAGGTTCAAAGTTTAGTGCATGTATTTTAAATTGTCTTGATTTCTTAACAGCACACATTCAAGGCTATAAATTTTCTTAAGGATCTCTTTGGTTCTGAGTTCTGATATATAGTAATCTTATTGTCATTTACTTTATATTTTTAAGTAGTTCTGTTTTTATGTTTTTGGTGCTGGGGATTGAAACCAGATCTTTGTGTATGCTAAACTTGTGCTCTACCACTGATCTATATGTCCAGGCTCTTTAATCTTATTTTTAGAAAGTTATCTTCCAAGTCATATGAAAACTGTACCTCTTTATGAAATTCAGGTACATTAGCTGTAATAAAATAACAGAAATAAAGACAACTGAGTTCAAACAGTCAAATTAAAGTTGGGGTTGTAGCTCAGTGATAGAGCACTTGTTTAGCACATGAGGCCCAGGGCTTGATCCCCAGTAAAAAAAACCAAACAAATGCAAATTATGACAATTAATTTAATGACTTTCTAGAACAATCCCCAATTTAAAAATACTAAAAACTAATCCCCCAGATTACAATATAAGCACTTGGGACTTTATATGAGGGTAAACACACACACACACACACACACACACACACACACACACACACACCCCTGCAATTATTATAAAGTAATTTATTGAGCATATTAGTTCTAATATTTGCGAGCCTACTCCTGTTATAAATTTCATTTTAAGTTTCAAAGGATTTTGCAAAACCAATTTTTTCATACAAAACAAATTTCTATTATGGACATTTTAAAAGTAAAATAGTATACTACAAATGCTTTCAGTAAAATATATTTTCAGGTTCTTACTTGACTATTTTAACTGGTAGTAACACATTTTAAAACAATTTACCTTTGAGAACCCAAGTTCCACAAGTAACCTGTCAGCTACAAACTCAATATACTGTTTCATCAGAACACAGTTCATTCCAATGAGCCCAACTGGCAAGGCTTCTGTTAAAAACTCCTAGAGCATGATCAAAACCAGAGAAAGGTACAAAGACAGACAGTAAATATGTATGCATTTTCCAAACAGAGAGAGAATTTTAGTATTATTAATATTCTAAGACACTGATTTTATTCAAGCAGAGCACACCAGGATAAAGTCTTTCAACATGGCAAATGGTGGCCATTTGTTGACAAATGTTTGGGATATCTCTAGTCATAGTATTTCACATTCTTAAAAAGCTGAAATAAACAGAAAATTATTTGATCTTGTCAGAACAGTACATGGATACATAAGTTTTCTCAACAGACAAAAAGAGGTGCTTGGTTCTGAAATGACTAGAAACAGATTCACCAAAGACAATCATGATGGGAACATGCCTACAGAAGGCAGTGGTAGAATATAAAACAAGAAACTATCTCTGCCCTCCAGGAGCTAAAAGCCTAAAAATATAAAACTACCATCATTAAAATAGTTTGTTATGGCATGAAATTTGACAGGTAAATCAACAAGACAGAAAAAAGTCCTGCAATTATTTTACTTATACAGAAAACTGTAATATAATAAAGACTGGCTTATAAACAAAATCATAAGCTGACATAGTAATTACAATCTATCGTGTATCAGTACTGTCAAATTGACTATATAAATTTGCTGATATTTGTTTTGACCTACAAAACAATTTCATTAGTCAAAAATAATAATGGTATACCTGGGTATAGTGGTACATGCCTGTAGTCTCAGCTACACAGGAGGCTGAGATGGGAGGATCACCAGAAGGTCAAAGCCAGCCTGGCAATGTAGCGAGACCCCAACTCAAAAAATAAAATAAACAGTAACATAAACATCAAAGAAAAAAGAGAGATGTACTAACTGTTTAAACTTCCCTACTTACCTGCTCAATTTTGACAGCATCAACGATGATCTCCCTGACCCTTTCTTCTGAAGGCTTATTCACTAAGTACTGAAACATTAAGCAAGCAAAGTCACAGTGAAGTCCCTAAAACAGAAAACAAATGTGATTGTTGAAGAACTTTTAACAAGTTACCTGCACACAAGCAATGTGTCAAGCATTGTATAATGTAGGTTCTAAGAATGCAACATGCGGACTGGAGGTGTGGCTCAAGTGGTAGACCATCTGCTTGGCAAGCATGAAGCCCTGAGTTCAACACCAGTCCCACCAAAAAAAAAAAAAAGAGCACAACATGGTAAGAGGATTAATAGGGCCAGGAACTTCTTTCCTTCAAATCTTGTTAAATAGTAGTTTAATGACTTACAATAAAAAAAATTCACTAGTAACAAATTTAGTTCATCAACACTAAAAGAATTTATAAGCAGACAAAAAATGGCAACAAAAAGCATTTTGAAAAGGAAAATATCGGTGTGCCAGTGGCTCACCCCTGTAATCCTAGCTACTGGGGAGGAAAGATCAGGAGGATCACATTTCAAGGCCAGCCTGGGCAATAGTTCTCAAGACCCTATTTTGAAAATACATACACAAAAAAGAGCTGGTAGAGTGGCTCAAGTGCCTACCTAGTAAGTGTGAAACCTTGAGTTCAAACTCCAGTATTGCCAAAAAAAAAAAAAAGAAACCAAGAGCCAAAATGAGAACTGATTGATTTTTAAATATAAAAAAATTAAGGGGTGATTGAAAAACAGTAAGTAGTATTTAAAGAACAGATAAAACTCATTCGGAGCGATTTCAAGAAGACAATATTAATTTTAAATAAGAACATCTCAAGATAAAGATGAATTCAGTGCAAGTGAAAATGGAAACTGAAGGATGAATACTGTCCGAAGCCACAAAAAGCAGAAATGTGACTGTAGATAACTCAACCAGAGAAGAAAATTGTGAAACATCCCTGAAAACAAAATGATTATGCAAATACAATACTGTAAGACCTTAAGTAACTGCAGAGCAGACCAGGTAGATTCAACCTACAATCAGGATTCCTAAACACAGAACAGATGGTACAAAACTGAAAATCTAAACAACTGCAGGAAATTTTCACAAATTCAAAAGAAGAGGCCACATATAAGATGATACAATTCCCAATAAAATGAATCTTTCCTTCTTTCTTTCCTTCTTTCCTTCCTTCCTTCCTTCCTCCCTCCCCTCTTCCTTCCTTCCTTTCTTTCTCCTCTCTTTCTCTTTTCTTTTTTTGTTTTTGTTTTGTTTGAGACAGAGTGTCATACCCCACCTCATACTCCATACGCTATGAAACCAGGCTGCACTTGAACTAATGATCCCCCTACCACCACCTATCAATTATCATTTCTGAACTACCGAGAAAAAGAAATAACTTTGTATGGAACAAGGAAGGATGAGGAGACTTTAAAGGACTACAAATCAGAATTTCTTAGGATTTTCTAAATGAATCAGCAAAAACCCAACGACAACACCAAGATAAGACCGTCAAATCAAAGATTGTATTCCAAGGATTGTTCACTTAATTTTCATTTCTAGAAGAAACTATCAAAGACAGAAATCTCTTTGAAAAACTAATTTTAGAAAATTTACTAGTAAAAGCTTTTTTTTTCCCCTGGGATACTTCAAATTATCAAAAGGTACATGTCAAATAAGCTACTGGAAGGCATTGAAGAAAGTGTTGATTTGACCTGGCAACTAGCTACCTATTGCAGACACCAGGAAATCAAAGATAAGTACCTATAAGTACTAGGTCAAAAAATGCCTAAAATTAATTTTGAGGTTTAAAGCAATTTTAATCAAAGTTCCAATAAGATTGTTTTTAATTCAAAAACTAACCCAGAATAACAAATAGGAAAGACCTTACAAGACTACTTTAAAAAGACAAGTTTTAAAAGTTTTTAAAATTTCTTATAGCAGAACAAATGAAAATCCTGAAAACAAATGTCTAATTACAAAGGATACATTCATTCAATTATTATATATTTAATAAAACTGTTTTCAAAAAAAAAACTTAATATCAAGAAAATGCTCACAATATTTTTCCAAGTAGAAAAAAACATAAAACTATAAATTATATAAACACAATGTCTATACATAGATTTAAATGTACAACAGTCTAGAAAGAAACACAATAAAATGCTAAACACAATTCTATTTGCATGTTTAATGATTTTTTTATTCGCCAAATTCTCTATAATAATCTTATAAGACTTTTGTAATAAAAGTTGTTAGAAATGTCAGGTGCTAGTGGTTCATGCCTGTAATCCTAGCTACTTGGAAGGCTGAGATTGGGAGGATCACAGTTCAAGGCCATCCCTAGCAAATAGTTCACAAGACTCTATCCCCAAAATAACCAGAGAAAAATGGACTGGAGGTGTGACTCAAGAGGTAGAGCACCTGCCTTGCAAGCACAAAGCCCTGAGTTCAAACCCCAGTCTCACCAAAAAAAGAAAATCCTTCAATTATAACTCATCACTGAGTTGACACCATAAGATACACAGGAGGAATGCCATCCGAAATAATGTCTGATAAAAGATGCCTGACATGAAACAAAAGCCAAATTTAAGTCAATATTTGTAAGCTTTAAAATTTCAGGACTCAAACAAATTTGAGAAATTGACATAATGATGGCAACTTTTAATTTTGCCCATTGTGTTTGTAAATAAACACTACATTGATAACTGCTGTCACTTCTATACAAAATACTCAAGAATAAAATCTGGTCTTTCAGATTAAATAAATTCAGTATTAGGAAAAATTTTTTAAAAATTACCATCAAACGGCAAAAAGTAATTATCTGAAACATTTTATGGCACTTAAAAATACTTCTCTATATACTATTTCATTGTATCCTAACAAAAAAAACCCTGTTAAGATTTATACTTGAAGAAATTAAGGTTCAGAGACATGGAGAAACTTGAAAAAGCCACTTAGAAAAAAGCTGAGGAGCCAAGATTAGTGTAGTAAATAAAAGTGAACAAATTCTGTAATGGGCTTAGCCATTGAGAACAAAAGGACAAATAAGGTCTCCGTGCTGAAGAATTCATAGTCTAATAGAGAAGAGAGATAAGTGCATACTACGGAATCCAAGACAGTGACAGGTTTAGATTTCAAAGGGATACAAAAAGGAAATAGTGGTCAATTTTACCCAATTGGATAAAGTTTTGAGTTGCCTCCTGTGAGAAGGTGATTGACAAGTGAAAAGAAAAAAAGTGATAGAGAAAGTGGGAATGGTACTGCAGGCAGAGGAGACAAGATTTGGTTATGATTGGATGTGGTTGAAAAAGCAACTTAAAATCACTCCGGATTACAAACTGGATGGCTGGATAGTAAGGCAGCAACACTCATTGTAATAGGAAGAACAGAAGGAAGATTAAGTTTTGGGAGATAGTTGATGAGTCTGAGTTCTGAAATAGCAGGTTCGAGATACTGGTGTAGCCTTTCAGAAGAAAAGATCTAACATGTGCTTGAGTAGGTGTCTGGAGCTCAAGAAGTACCACCTGGAATAAAGTTTGGAGCGTTAGGAGCAGTTAGATGGTAACTGATTCCATCTGAATAGATAAGATCAGTAAGGATGTCACATTCAGTGAAGGAGTGAGGCCAAGGCAAGGATCCAGAAGCACACTGATATTTAATGATAAGCAGAGACTAAGGAGGAATAAGACACAGGAGAAAAATGCTCTGTCTTCCAAGCCAAGGAATAAGAGACTTCCTACTTTCTTTTAATACTTGTCTCAGCATAAGCATTTCCCAGGGGAAATAAAAATAAATGAACCCAAATATAACTGGAAGAACCCTGCAATCCTTACTTCATCTCTGCTGATGAGCTCATTGGAAAAGGTGAGTCCAGGCATGAGACCTCTCTTCTTTAGCCAGAATATAGCAGCAAAAGATCCTGAGAAGAAAACTCCTTCTACAGCAGCAAAGGCCACCACTCTTTCCCCTGGGAGACAAAATAGTTTCACTTTCTGAACTAGCACATACTATAGATACTTACAAGTTTATAAAGCATATACACATTTACATGTGTGTGTACGTGTGTATAGATAGATAGATAGATAGATAGATGTATTTACAATATCAGGTTTTTTTCCAAGAAACAAATGAACAAGTTAGTGACATGGCCAAGAGTCTTCAAAGGAAGAAAATTTCCACCTTTACTTGCTAAAGCAGAAAAGTATGTCTACCTTAAATTCTACATCAAATAACTCATGCAGGTCTTTTTGTCTAGACAAAGGTGAGGCCATTTGCCTGAAAGCCATGTGTGCCAGTGAGCGCAGGCACAGGTGTAAATGTAGCATGTGCACCTGTGTGTGGTCTGTGTGTGTGACAGAGTGAAAGTAGAAGACAGCCTTTATGACAAATGTCTTCCTCTGGGAGTGGGAGGTTTATATTTTTAGAAATCTATAGTATCTTACAGACTAGCTGTAAACATTTCAAAGACACTGCCATGCATGTACAATTTTTTAAAAATGGATAAACCAAATGAAGATAATAAATATATCTATTGGATAAAACATCTTATCATATAAGCAAAAATACCATTTTCTGCTAAATATATAATGGCCAACTTAAAAGTTTACTCATTGTGAGGGAAGGACTCTGTAGAAAATCATCCCTAAAATGTCTCTAGTGGCATCATATCTGTGACAATATCCTTAGGGGATGATGATACCTATAATCCAAAATTATTCACAGCCCCTACATCACCACACTATTTATTCTTGAGAGAAATATTTATAAAGGATAGGTCTGGTTGGAGAAAAAGTTTTGGTCTCTAAGATGATGAGATAAAGATAGCTGAGCACCAGAGGGAACTACAGACCTCTGTCATAGACTACATCACAATTTACATCTCAGCACTTGTTGCAGGACCAAACACATGGCAGGTACTTAACAAATGTGTCCTGAACTGAACCAATGGAAATATTATATAAGTGCTAGATGGTAAGAGATATTAAAAATCTATTCTATAGAAAACATAAAAATGGTATAGAAACTGAATATTTATAATTTCTAGAATAAAGATTTAAATTGCAAAAAGAAAGATGATTAATTTTAAATAATTCTGATTGATTCTAAAGAATGCTCTGATTTGTCCTTATTCTTTCTCATGATTATCTTAAACAAACCAAATCAGACGCATTAATATATCAGATATGTGGTAATCCAAGAGTTCAAATAATAACCTAAAACATGCTAAAGACTTCTACAGTATTTTATTTTTATAGACACAACTTCAAAAGTCACTTTGGAAAAAAACAGAAGAAATCAATAAATAAGTTCTCACTGAGTAGCTACTATGTCAAAGGAATTATAGAAAAGAAGAATCTTCAATATGGTATATACCAAATATAATAATTATTGTGTTTAAGATAGAGATACATCTTTGGTTTAACATATAACTTACTATACTTTTATTTTACTATTAATTAGATAGCTATAAATGAGATACTTTATGTTGGGGGGTAGTACTGGGATTTGAACTCAGAACTTCATGCTTGCTAGGCAGGCACACTACTATTCGATCCATGCCCTCAGCCCTTTTTGCTTTGGTTAGTTTTGAGACGGGATCTCATTTTATGTCCAGGCTGGCCTGGATAGCACTCCTATTTATGCTTCCTATGTAATTGGGATGACAGACATGAACCACCATGCTCATCTTTTATTGGTTGAGATGGGGGGGGCCTCACAAACTTTTTGCCTGGGAAGCCTCAAACCAAACTGCATTCATCCTGATCTCTGCCTCTTGAATATCTAGGATTACACTATGCCTAGCTTAAAATAGACATTTTTAATTGACATTAAAGAAATAGCATACAGATAATTATCTGTAAGGGAACTAGATTATAATTAAACATAAACACTCTAAAAATTTTTTTTATCATTCTATGTGTTCAAATGAATACCAAAGAATTAAAATCACAATAAATATATAAGGTCATTTTTGAGAGAATTAAGGAGTAAATTTTATAAATATTTGAAACTATATATGAAATAAAGAGAGACTTCTGGCCAGGCTTGGTGTTATACTCCTGTAATCTCAGCACTTGGGAAGCTGAGGCAGAAAGATCCTTAATTTGAGGTCAGCCTGGACTAAATAGTGAGACCCTGTATCAAAAAAGAAAGAGAGAGAGAGAGGGAGAGAGGGGGAGAGAGAGAGAGAAAGAGAGAGAGGGAGAGGAGGAGAGAGAGAGGGAGATGGAGACAGAGAGAGAGAGCGTTCCAGAACACTTCTAAAAGTGATGATGAATGTAAAGATGATTTGTTTTAGAGAGGAAAGTAGGATATATTTCTGAGATACAGCTGAGTTTTATGTGCAATGCATTAAGATTATATACTAATAATTTTGTTACATATATTAAATTTAACATATCTGTCAATCTATCTGATTTAAAGTTCTTTAAAGATATTTTTTAAACTAAAAGTACATCTCAATTTTTAGCTGTATGGGAATTGAATCTCTATCACAACGACAGGCTTTAAAGCAAGTTAATGACTTTAAGGGGGTATTCTTAGGCTCTCTTTAGCTAAAAATAATGGATTACAGGAATTTGGATGTAAGGGAAGAACAGTTGCTCTACTGACCCTACTTGTAGAAGTCACCAAGAATTTCGCCAAAAATGTTAGGCAAAGCCCTCTGCAAGATAAAAGAGCTGCCTTTGTCGACCTAAAGCTATAATAGTGCAGGTGGCACAATAAGTCATAAAACTGCACTTCCTCAGCTGGCTAAAGGAAAATATTGGTGTGCAGGAAAGCAAAGCAATATTTCCATGCTACTGTCTTTTTGCTCCACTTCAGAAAGGAGAGCCACCAATGTGCACTTCATTCTTTTCCCTTTCCCTTCTTAATCCATTTTTTACCACTTTACTCTTCCTACATCATTTTAAAACATGTTCTTTCTTCCGAGACCTATATAAGAACTGTAAAGGGGGTTTGCCTTGAACTTAGGCAACTGGGAAGATCTAACTGGAGCCTGTGGTGCATTTGCATGGTGACTACTAGCCTCTCTGTTTTTTCTACTTCTAGGTTGCCTTTCTTAAATAGTGTCAGGAAATGTATGGTGTCTGTCATCCTGCTCATTTGCCACCAGTGCCTATCCACACTAATATTTCCAGTGCATATTGGACACCTTGAAATTTCTCTTCTTTGTTCTCTAAAGCCACTATCCCTAAGTGTGCTTCTCAAACCACTTGTGACAATCAGCTTAGCATAAAAATGCAGATTCTTTAGTCCCACTTGGGCTTCCTAAATCTCTGTGGTGAGAACCAGGATTCTGCAGGCTTTTCCACAAATTCCCCAGATGATATTTATGCGCACTGCTTTTCTCCTTGAAATGAACTGAAGGCAACACAAACCCATCTACTTCTTCCCTGACAAACCACGTGTTTACCCACACAAGCCCTATATTGCTGGTTCTCAGGTGTGGTCCAGGAGCCTCTGGGAGTTCTATAGACTCAGAACATCTGGGAAGTCAAAACTACCTTCATAATAATACTGAGGCATTATTTGTATTTTCAAATTACCATCCCCTCAAGTGTACAGTGGTATTTTCCAGAGGCTACATGGTACATCCATATCAATATGAAAAACTAGTAAAACACTCATCCCTTTTTAAACTATTTTTTTCATATACTTCAAACAAAACAACAAACTACAGCAAATGGAATGAAAAGCTGATATGATAGCCTAGCTGTCTTCTATTATGTCAGACATGCAAGAGATTTGTAAAAGAAATGTAAAACCATGATTCTGGTCATGATTTTTTTTTTTTTTTTTTTTAGAAAATACAAGGTTTTTCATTTTAGAATGTTATTTTTGAGCTGGTGGAGTGGCTCAAGTGGAAGAGCAACTGCCTAGAAAGTGTGAGGCCCTGAGTTCAAACTCCAGTGCTGCCAAATATATAAATAAATAAATAAATGATGTTTGTGTTCTAGGTTAATTATAGTTACCTTAAAATATACTAATAAATGTTTTAAAATATTCTTGGCTATAATTTCTAATACAGAAATATTAATAGGTATGCACACCCCACAAATAAAAGCATTTTAGAATCCTCAATAATTTTTAAAAGTACAAAGAGGAATCCCAGATGTGGGATTATACACCTGTAATCTTAGGATTCAGGCAAGAGGATCCTGAGTTTGAGGCCAGCCTAGGCTACACAGCAAGACCCTACCCTCGCTCCAAAAGAAGACTACAAAGGGCCCGGAGGTAAAAATATTTTGATACCTGCTTCCCCACATGATGAATAAAGCTAGAAAGTGAAGACCACAATCATGAAATAGATAAGAATGAAACTGGTACTTAGAGATATGTAAGCAAAACATATGGATATTTAAATTAAATTTAATAAGCAGTTACTGAGCAACTATTAAGTATGAGATACAATGTCAACTACTTTAAAAAAGGTTATGGGAGCCAGGAGTGGTGGTAGATGCCTGTAATTGCAGCCCTCACAAGACTGAGGCAGGATGACCTTAAATTGCAGACTAGCCTGGATTACATGGCAAGACACTGGCTCAACCACTCATGCCCACACCTCCTGAAAAATAAAAGACTATTATTCCAAACTGTTTCTTGTGGTGGGCTGCACTAATCTTTAGTTCTTTAGGAACCATGTATCTGTTTCCCCCAGAATGTTATGATTTGACTTGCTTTAAATCCCTAACAAACATTCTTTCTTTATTTTGCTGTACTAGAGTTTGAACTCAAGGCCTACATCTTGAGCCACTCCACCAGCCCTTTTTTGTGATGGGTTTTAGAGATAGGGTCTCAAGAACTATTTGCTTAGGCTGGCTTTAAACTGTGATCCTCCTGATCTCTGCCTCCTGAGTAGCTAGGATTACAGGTGTGAGCCACCAATGCCTGACTAACAAACATTTTTAAAAGCAGGTACAAACTTTAGATTGCTATAACACTCTTGCTGGATTCTATGTCACTGACTCTTACTTACCTGTCATTATGCACTGATATCTTAACTTTTCAAGTTCTAAGTTACATGAAATAAAATAGGTAACAGACTTATTGGACTACTGTTTCTAATTAATCATTAGGAATACCAACTTCTAGTATGAAAGCACATTGAGACCTTCATGCTCCTCTTGCATTCTATGACTTTGATTAGAACCATGAAAAACACCATCATATCACTTATCACCCAAGGCAAGTTTGATTACATATAAGTTAGAGCAGTATACCAAAAGTAGATTTTCTATCTGCAATCCATCGCAGGGCCCAATCTGCTTTTTTCTTAACATATGGCATTGTTTCAATTGCATTAAATAAAAATTCCCTGTAAAAACAAAAGAATTCATGATAAAGTTATTCACTTATTTTTCTTAATTGGACTAAATTTCAGTAATTTAATCAGAGATAATAATTGGTACACTAGCAGATCTGCAGTGTTTCTCTATCTATTTCAGCATCTATTTCACATTAGTGGCTTGGATCTAGTCTGATACAAATTGACTAAATGTGACTAATTTAATTTCTAAACAGAATGTGTTAATGAAAAGTTTTTAAAGATACTATACAGTATCTAAAGACTAACTTGCTCTATATGAGATTTTTTTTAAGTCAACACATGATTGAGAAATAGAAAACACTACACTCACAAACTCTGATATATGAATAATCTTTCTGTGACATTTAGTTTTAGAACAAAATCTGCTCTTAACATAAACATAAATAAAATCCCAGCAGTAATACCTTTTCTTGGGATCTCTGATATAAGTATCTATTAGCAAACTATACATTTCTGAGTGAACATTCTCGATGAGAATTTGAAAGCCATAGAAACAGCGAGCCTCTGGAACCTGCACCTCCTGACTAAAGCGCTCCACCTAAAAAAATAAGAGAAACAGATCCAGTGGGCTCTCACAAAACACTGGGGTAAACACTGCACGTCCAAACCTAAGCAAGAGAATTAGCACTTCAAAACTGCTGCTTATACAACAAAACAGATCACAAAGACCTTACGGATCATTTTAAGCAGCATCTTAAGCAGTACTATTTACCAGTGTAGCCCTCTACGTTAACTTAACTATGAAACAGTTTTTGGGTTTTGGGTTTTGTGGTGCTAGGGATTGAACCCAGCACTTTATACATGCTGAGTAAGTGCTCGATCACTAAGCTACACCTCCAGTCCCACACCGCATGTAATTTTAATCGGTTCCATTTATGCTTGATTTTATGATATTTTGCTGGTCAAATGACACTTTATGAAAAATATTTTCAAGAATTTAAGCTTGAAATTTAAGCTAGTCCATTATTTAAACGTCTTTCCTCAAGCTCAATTTAAATGGCTGGACTGACATTATCAACATTTAAGTATTGAATGGGAACAAAATAAAGTAAAAATCTTACCAAATTTTCATTTACAATTCCATCACTGGCTGCAAAAAAGGCTAAAATGTGAGAGATAAAATATTTCTCATCTGGTTTAAGTTTGTTCCAGTGAGGGAGATCCTTTGATAAGTCAACCTAGAATAAAAAGATTTAAAAAAAATTTTAACTTGGAGTTAAAGTGTTTGCAAAACTAACTTCTACTCCAAAATTAAGAAGGGACATTCCATTACTAGAAAAAAAAATAACATCACAAAGAAAATAAAACATTATAACAATAGTATGTGGTATTCAGAACATTTGCTAAGTGATAGATTATAGCTACCCTTGCCACAGTGGGGAAGAGGGCCACTGGGGTCTAGGGGCTCAATGTATCAATACAGGGGGACAAAATATTTAGTCCATAATTCTTGTAGATATCATTTCATCTTTAAAAAAATCTCTTAAGAATGTTTCACAATAACATCATAAACATTAGAAATACATAACTGTCCTTTGTAATATGTAATTGTGGGGTGTTTTTTTTTCCTGCCCTTCTTTTATTTATTCTAACAAAGCTGTAATCTTTTTGACCACTCCAAATAATAAGACTTGTCTTCCATCCTTTTAACCATTTGTGTTCTTTTCTAACATTCTTAAAATGTTTTCTGAGTACTTAATACAAGCTAAACCGCTGCTCTAAGTGCTGGATGGGATAGGAGGAGGAATATTTAGGGGTTTTTTGGTTTTGTTTTTGTTTTTTAAGAGACAGCATGTTGCTATGCAGCCCAGGCTGGCCTTTAACTTGGGTTCCTCCTGTCTCTACCATCCAAGTACTAGGATTACAGGCATGTACCATTGTACTCAATAGAAATATTTGTCATTATCTTGTAAAATATATACAGTAAAAATCAATTTTTGTTCTATAAAGAGATCAACTCAGGTTTAACTGAAGGATGGCTTTCTGGTTTTTATGTATTATACTCCTGACATTAAGTTTCAGTGTATGTTTGTCTTAAGGGTCTCTCTTTTAACGGTCAGCTTCAAAATACATTGTGAATTTTATTTATACTGCATTGGTCACATTCCCTTCTAGAAACATAAGCCTTCCTGCCTAGCTTTATCTCATTTCAGCAGATTCTCAGTTCTACCATCTAAACATTGATTACAAAGTATTTGCTATAGTTAGGATCGTGAATGTCCCTCCCAATAGACCATGTGTTAAAAGCTTGACTGTCAGTCTGTGGTACTACTGGGAGAAGGTAGAAAGTTTAGGAGGTGGGATCTAGTGGAAGGGAATTAGGTCATTGGAAGCAGGGCCTTCATAGGATATTAGGATCCCTGGCCCCTTCCTCTCTCTTTCTGCTTCATGGCCACCATGAGGGTGAAGGCCTCTTCTGCAGTGTGTGTACTTGCACCACAATGTACTATACCATCACAGGCCCAAAGCAACAGGGCCAAGCAACCAAGGACTGAAACCTCTGATATCATGAGTCAAAATAAACCCTTTCCTTTATAAATTGATCTCTAAGGTATATTGTCACAGTAATAGAAGGCTGACTAATATACTAGCTGATTATCAGAAATGCCTGAGTGGCTTTAAAAATAAAAATTTCCAAGCCCCAGACCTTTGTCTTCTGAACCAGGATATAATATTCAGGAATTAAGGTCAACTACTGATAAACTATGAAATCTAAAGTTGATTAAGTGGTCATTTACATAATTCGTTTAAATGAAAAATATGTGGAACTAAAAACGTATTTTGACTTCCCTTCAAAATATGTATTTGAATCATCCTACAACCAGTATATTTTAGTTTTTTAAAAATTCTTGGTTTTTTTTTTAGCATGTAATAGTTGTATAGGGAGATACACTGTGATATTTACATGTGTGCTTACAATATATCATAGTACCTTTGCTGAAACATGCAATTCCAAAAGAGTTTCAAGAAATCCAAATAACACAAGTATCTTTTTCAAAATGATAAATGAAAAAGCCACCTTCTGTGCTCCCCTTGTTCTCTGAACCATATCTAACAACAACAAAAAAAAACTTTCTAAAAACCACAGACGGTTAGGTAGAGTCAGGTGTGCTTGTGAAAAAAATACTGAGTATTTGTTTTGGTTTGGTTTTTTGCTCTATATGAACTACATCATAACAAAGATGTGGACAGTATGAGGTGGGTAAGTAGGTAAAACTAGTGCAAGAGAAGCCTCAGACATTGGTGCATTTCTGAATTCCAAGTTAAAATGCCTTCATTTCATGTGCTTACTGAGTGCCAAGTAGCATTTTAAAACATATCATTAATCTGATTTACTGATGAGGATGCAGAGAAGTTAAAGCTGCTTTCCTAGTTCCACAGATGGTAAGTAGAAGAGCAGGGTTTATACCTAGCAGCCTGGTCCCAGAGCCTGCATTTCTCACAGGGTGTTAATTACATATATAGAATCAGCCACTGACAGATCCTTACATAGATCCAAATCTATCTATCCAAATAAATATGTCTATCCATTAAAGATAGAGATACTTATTCACAGCCTGAGTGTTATGCAAATATCATTAAGCATAATTAAAAGGAAAACAATAACTACTGTGTGTTCAATTAGACTACAGAGTAATCACTTACATGACCAACTGTCCTGACCAAACCAGCAAGTATTATCTAATTTGTTTTGTTCAAATCATTTCCAAGGCAGAAAAAGTCACACTAACAGAAAGCATCAGCAGCTGTCCTATTAGGGGCTATGTCAGGCTCGATGCAGTTAAGGCAGGGCCAGGTTTGGAGAAGCACAATGAAGTCAAGAGTGAATGCGCTGCCTGGACATCAAACTGCTCATGTGACAGCACCTTTCATACAATCAGATAAGACTCTCAAGCGAAAGCAGGCTCCTGAATGCTTTTACTCTTTCATTTTTTGACTATAGCTGCAATTTTATTCATTCTGCTGACTATAAATAAAGACTGGTCTTATTCAGTCATAGCAAGTCAAAAGTCCACTTAAAAACAGAAATGTATGACAAAATGGAAAAAAAAAGTTCTCCAATATATTAGAAACAAAACCAGGCAGAATGACTACTTGGGAAACTAAAGCAGAAGGATCGTGAATTTGAGGCAGGCCTGGGCTACATGGCGAGACCATGTCTCAAAAACAAAAATAAGTTCTGACAGAATAAACTGCCATTTTTTGCAGTAGGAAACTTGTTTACAGACTATAGTCTAAACCAAAACACAGGGGAACACTGTATTTAGCCTCAGTAATTCAAAAGCAGATTTTATACAACGTATCTTATGAGCAAATTTTTTTCAATATCCTGTAAGGCAAGAAGCAAACCCTGTAGAGCAGGACATGAATATTGAAGGCAGTGCTGGCACATACCTCTTCCGCTGTCCAGAAGGATGCCTGTGCTTGTTTATACATTTTCCAAATATCAGGGTACTGGATTGGGAAAATGACAAATCGGCGGGAACTCTTCCTTAGCAGTGGTTCTTCATTTGACTTCACTTTGTTTTTGCTGGAATCTGATGATAACCTCTTTGAAAAACAAAGTACAAAAAACCTTTTCATCTAGACTCTTCCTCTTTATTCATATCTAAATATACATCAGTGAAGTTAGGGAAACAGGAGAGGTTTGGGAACCAGTGTGCTTGTGTTGAATCCTTTTGGTTATACAGTGGCTGGCTAATAGTATTTGGTTAGCTGCATGACTGCAGGAAGTTGTTTTGCTTCTCTGAGCCTCCATTCCTACAGGTGTAAAATAATAGTTATTCCAAAAGATTATTCTGATGATTAAAAGTGCCTAAAGGCTGGGGGTGTCTCAAGTGGTAGAGCTCCTGCCTAGCAAGCGTAAAGGCCTACATTCATACCTCTTTACCACAAAAAAGTACATTAAACAGAGAATAATAGACACTCAAAAATTATTATAGTTATTGTGACTTTTGAGAGTAAGTGTAAAGCTAGACGCAGAAATGTCATGGTGGGCAAATTTCCAAGTTGTGGATAAAATGTCCTTTCAGTGCCACTCTGATATAGAATGCTGGCAAAAATAGGTCACTGTCAAAAGCTGCTTTTTTAATGCTTTTCTCATCTTAACTAAGTACTGTAATATTTATTTATTTATCACCCTTTGTTCATCTTAACCTTCCCCATGTATCAATTTGTTAATTCTATTTACATTTTCACATTGTTCTTTCTAGTACCAGGTTCATACTTGCCATACCTATTTCCAAGGACTGTTAAAAAGATCAGAGGAGCTAATATAAATAAAAGTACTTTGTATGTTCTCAAATATTATATACATTTTAAAAATTATTATTGTATTATTGACTGTTGAGATGCTTCTGGTGGCCTTTTAAAGGTTGTCCCTATATTCAAAGAACTACTATAGCTGTTCACTATATTATGAGTTCAAGTCTCACCTTGAACTCACAATCTTCTTACCTCTGGTTTCTGACTCCTTTGTGCTGGGATTATGGAAATGAACTACTGTGCCTAGCTGAGCATCTCATTTTTTAAGCTTCTCCAGCCATTCTCTAGTTATTTCATGAGTGAAAATTTCCTTTAGGGAAGTTGATGAAATATTTAACAACTATACATATTATAATTCAGTATGATATGTATATTATATGATATATATCTGCACATCTATATGATTACAAATTATAATTGTAGATATAATTATATATATATATATGCAGACATATATATAATATAACTTAAGTAAAATCATACTAATAGACAAAAGTGGATTTTGTTGACTGGTGTGACATTCATGATTTTGTTTGGAAATGGGCTTAGGTGTTGAAGCTCATGGGAGGAACCTAAGTGTAAATATATATGAATTTTGCATAGCTATTTTCCACAAGCATTTTGATAGAATTGTTTTGACACTTTTTAATCTCAGTGCCATCATTTTGATAAAACAAAAAATTAACTGATGTCTTCTAAAATATGCACTTAATCTCAAAATAATTAGATGTGACAGCTCTAGGCATGGTTCAAGCAGTAGAATGCCTGCCTCGTAAGCGTGAAGTCCTGAGTTTAAACCCCAATACCACCAAAAATATAGATACATACATAATATAAATATATAAAGCATATATAAAAATTTGAGGCTAGGTCCAGTATATCTATTTTGCATACTAAATGAAAATTAAGTTGATTTTTTTTTTTAATTTTGGAACAGGTCAAAGTGGCCTTTTTTTTTTTTTTACTACATTTTGGTATTTGGTCTCTATCATGTAGACTATTAGAAGCCAATGAAGTTTTGTTTTTGTTTTCTTTTCGGTGGGATTGAACTCAGGACCTCACTCTACCACTTGAGCCATGCCCCCAGTCTGTTTTTAAACAAGCAAATAAAACTTGTGGATAGATCTAATGAGAAACGGAGGGTGGAGAGAGAATGATTAAAAAATTATTACACTATTCATTTCTTATCTGAATTAAGAAATCAGCAAGAATACATACACACAACATTGATTTAAGAAATATTCAAAACTAAGCAACAGTAGCTCATGCCTGTAGTTCTAGCTACTTGGGAGAATGAGATTGGGCAAATTGCAGTTTTTGGCCAGTCTTGGCAAATAGTTATCAAGCCCCACATCTCCAAAAACAACAAGAGCAAAGTGGACTAGAAGTGTGGCTTGAGTGACAGAGCACCTGCTTCACAAGTGAAAAACCCTAAATTCAAACTCCAGTCCCACACACACACAAAAAAAAAAAGAAAGAAAGAAAAATATTGAGAAGTAAAATAAGCTGTTCTTACTAAAAATTTCCAACTCTAGCAACTGGGTGATTACAAGAAGCAGGTGGTACCTAGAAAGTACTCAAATCTAGAGAATAACTGAATAAATCAGGCAAAAACTCTTGCTTCTCACATTAAATGTTTAACAAAACTTGAATTAATTCTTCCTACCAACCCAAGCAACAAGAAATTATAAAGTCCACTTTGTCAATAAAAATGATAATGAATTCAATTTCAAGATGTCCAATGGGCAACTGAAAATATAACGCTACGGTCCAGGAGTGCTGGAGATCCCATTAGGGTTGCCAAGGGATGGGGTGATTATCCAGGGAGAACCTAAAGAGCACAGCAAGGCAATGGAAGATGTAGCCTTGGAGGATGTTAGAGAATGCTGACATTTAAAGGGCAGATGGAAGAAGTGGAGCCAGGTGGGAAGAACACAGAATAAAACAGCTGCAGGACAAACAAAAGCAAAACTAAGTGATGTGATTTAGCTAAAGCAAACAGTCAACAAAGGAAATTCCACAAAGGATTCATATTCTGGATATCAACCAAGCTAGGAGGTTAGGAGTTCATTTTGTGGGCCGGATTTTCAAACACCTAGGGATCCAGAGGTTCAACTGCTCAGATGCTGGCATTCACTGTGGAATACATTTAGAAAAAGATCCCTACGCTAGTCATGGAGAATTTCTGAATAGGAGTTAACATGAATACAGCTGGTGTTAAGAAGAGTAATCAGATGTCCCTGTGTAGGATGAATTAGAAAAGAAAAAAACTAGATTTTTGCTACCAACTAAGATATGAGATTCATAAATGGAAATGAGGACATGAATTAAGATGTGGAAGTTAGCATGAAAACACAGCTTCAACAGGACTTTGCCAGCCTGAGGAGTTGGCCATTTTTTGGCAGGTACTGAGACTTTTTGGGGAGTTTGTACTGGGGGAGAATGTCACCAAAGTATTAGTTTAATGAAACACTGACTAGACAATAGTAAATAAGATTATACAGCCAGTAGGAATGGAGGTACAGTGACAACTAAGTTGTGGCTACCCAAGTGTAAAGTAAAGAGAATCATAAATAAAGTAGCGCAGTAGGCATTCCTTAGCAACATTCCACATCTTTTCCAAACTAGTACTTCTAGTTTTTTTCTGCCTTAACTTCTGGTAATTTGGTCTGACAGGTGCCCAGGCATGCCTGGACAAAAATCTAGGTCAAGATTCCCCAGCAAGCAGTTACAGTACCCTGATCTAGGATGGCATTCTATGTGCCCTTAACTCCCAACCATCCCTAATTCCACCCACTGTTCCATACATTTGCTTGGTACCTATCTTCTATTTCTCTATTAGAAAATTTGCATGCTTTCATAATTTATAGATGTCATTTTCATTAGTCCATTCCTATTGACTCTGACAAAGTGGATGAAATACTGTACTATGTGCAAGAACTTGGATTTAAACCTAAGTCTACTACTGAGTCTTGAGCATGTCATTTAAACTTTTTGACCTTGAAATTTTTGAGAAACTGATGAAAACTACTGATCCCTTTCTCTGTAGAGTCACATATGGACATACAAAATCCACATACAACCTTAGAAGATTCATAAACTCCCTTCAAGTCCATCTGTGGGCCCTTTTAGGCAGTGTTGTTTTGTTTTGCTTTGTTTTTGTACTGGGGTTTGAATTAAGGGCTTTGAATTTGCTAGGCAGGCACACTACTGCTTGAACCATACCTCCAGCCCTTTTTGCTCTGGTTGTTTTGGAGATAGGGTTTCACTTTTTGCCCAGGCTAGTCTGAATCTTGATCCAGTAGTCTCTGGGATGGGTGCCACCACCATACCCAGCTCTTTCCCATGGAGATGAGGTCTCAAAAACCTTTCTGCCAAGGCTACCAAGGAACCAAGATCCTCCCCACCTTAGCCTCCCAAGTAGCTATGATTACAGCTGTGAGCCACGAGTGCATGACAAAGGTAGTATTTCTTAAAATAAGTGTACAAGGATCACCATAAGTGACTGTTATAAAGTGATTCAGACCCATCCCAAGAAACTTTGATTCCCTAGGTCTGTGGTGTAGATCCTGTAACTTACATTTTTCACAAGTACTTCAGATGATTGCTGATGCAGGGGGTCCATGCTACCCATCACACTCAAAGCAAAAAAGTGCTTAAAAGGCATCCTTGCATCTAAAGTTTAAAACTTTTGTACTAAGAGCTTGCTAAAATGCATTCTAAATCTAAAATTCTGCCTCTGCCCCTGCATATATCACTGAGATAAATAGGAAAAAAAGTTAACTTCCAAGGTGTTGAGCCAGGGTGACTACTGGTGCCACTAGCAAAACAGAAAAGTCTTGAATTTTCCCCCTGTAGGGAAACTGGTACTAAATTTGTTTCATGAGGAAAAAAGAAATTTGAGGGACATTTACAATTTATCCATTAGTTGCTAAATGTTTGTAAAAAAAAGAAAAATAATAATAAACATGGAATCTACAACTCTGTAAAGAAATGTAGGGCTAAGCATTAATTCCTGACCTGAAACTTTTATGTTCCCTCCAAACCGTCACAATATTAAATTCAAGATAACACACACAGGTTCAAGAACAGAAAGTATTTCTCTTATTCCAAATGGCTTATAAGTATTTGCAAAAGGAGTGGGTACGAAAAATTATAGAGCAACAACTTAAACTAGCATACAACCCTACAATCTAATAACTCCCAGTTTGTTTACTGCTGCTGCTGACTTATTGGCACAGAAGCTGGGGACGAACTTAGGTTTATTCATCACCTACCATTTTCTTGGCACTTTGCATAAAGTACTTTACTGGGTGGGGGGAGGGAGCGATTGTAAGTATCACTTCCACTGTTTAAATGAAGAAATGTACACCGGAAGATCAGTTAAATAGCTCGGCCTGTGCAAAACTGGCCAACTAACCTGTCTCTGTTATGTAAGGATTTCCCGTCCCCCTCCACCTATCACCCCCACACCTTCCACCTGCGTCTATTAACACACGTGTTCTCCAACACCCATTAGCGGAATGCCTTTCTCCCGTGCATCAGCCACAGAGCTCTTTCCTGGCCTCGGTCTGCCCAGCCACAGCTCCGAGCAAGGGGAGGGTGGAGCGCGTGATGGGCGGGTAAACAAAGGGGCGCGCCTCTCCGGGCTGACCCCGCAGAGCCGCGGAGCGGGCGGAAACCCGCGGATCCTCACCCTCCCTCCCCCGGCTGGCCACAAAGACACCTGCTGCGGCGAGGGCGCTACCAGCCTGCACCGGGTGTCTAAGGGCGATCAACGAATATCCTACAGAGGTCCTGCAGGTCTCCGCCGCGACTTGCCATTGAAATGCCTGGCGAGACCCTGAGCGGATGATGAAGCGACATTTACCTCATCCTGCTCGGGCCTGGCCGCTTCCGGCCTCTCCGGGTCGCCCATCGCGCAGACTCCGCCAGAACTACCGGAGCTAAGGAAACTGCACGCCACAGGCCACCTCCAACTAGGACAGGATCCCGGTGGCTGGAAAGTCCGCAAAGCGCGGCGACCCGCCTCCGGCTCCAGGGGCCCGCCCCTCTGCGTCAGACCGAATTTCTCGCCTGCACATCGAGCTACTCCCGCTGCGGGGACCCGGCCCCGCCCCTCGCCTGAGGAACCAGCCTACCGGGTCAGCCCCGCCCACCTCCGCTTAATCGGCCCCGCATCCCGTGTTAGAGACCCGCGCACCCCGGCCGGCCCCGCCCTTCCGCCTCAGGAACTCGCTGGCCCCGGCCGGCCCCGCCTCCCTCCGCTGAGCCGGCTGGCCTCCACCCTTCATCTCAAGGGCCCGCCTACCTCTGCCGGCCCCGCCTCCCCGCTCGCAGCCTGAGGGAGTCTCCTTTGCCCCGGTGCCGTGCACATCATGTCCCCGACCAGCCCTTCCTCACGGCTCTTCCCACCCCGCTGCAGAACCCCGCCCACTCCCGCTGGCCCCACCTCCCTGCGCCGGCCCCGCCTCCCGTCCGCTCTCCGCCGACTCTGGGTGCGCCGACTTGGCCACGCCCACCCTTCCCCAGGACCCCGCCTCCTCCAGACTCTCAATTTGCCCTCCCTGAACCGGCGGGTTCTGCATGCGCTCCGCCGGCCTTGGGTCCTGCACTGCTGGTGCGGCAGTGCGGGGCGTTGCGGGTCCACAGACCCCGGCAGGCCCTCGTGGTATCCAGCAGTGCGGTAGGTTGCATTAACCTGGTCTGTTCTGAGAGATTGCCGGTGGCTTTAAGGCCGCCCACAGGAAGAGATGTGGAGAACGCTTTATTAATGCGTGAACTGGTGGAGGGCGGAGGCGGGGGGAGCCTCAGCGTTAAAAAGCCAACGAGGAGAAAAGACTGGCTTGTTTTGTATTTCAGAGACCAAAAAGAGGAAGCGGTTGGGGGAAAAGTATACATGAAGGGGCTAAAGAAGGAGGAGAGGGGAAATTGCTATCATCTACTCAGAAATATTTGGAAAGCTCTGCAATTGTTTCAGCAACTAACTTTTAGTAGGATTTGTGGAGCAAAGTGGCCCGCACTGTACTCACCACCCTTGTGTGACATTGACTCATTTACTCTTCAGGACATCTCTGTGCAGCAGTCTCTGCAGTTAACCCCACAAACAGATTAAGACACAGGGCCTTAGGATACAAAATTAAGGTTATACAGCTTTAAAAAAAAAAAAAAAGCTAATACACTGAAGTCTGTCCCTCTACCTGCTCTTTCAAGGCCAGAAGTTAGGTTAAAGTGGTGGACAGAGGCCACACACCTGTGTGATGCGATGGTATTAGTGACAGTAATTCAGTTCAATCACTAATTCCTTGCTCTCAGGCTATGCTAACTACAGTGGAAAGAAACAATAGTTTGGTCTAACAAATAAAAGTAAAAGAGATTTAAGTCGATTGGAGCTGAAATGTGGAGGGAACCTTGCCAGGACTTCAACAACGTGCACTTGTTTTGTGGCTGTCTGGAGAAGGGAAAGCAGGATAGAAATTTTACTTTAAGCTTTGAAGATGGCTGAAGGCTCTGTCTACCTACCTTGGAGTAGAGTTAGCCTTACTTAAAGAGAGTCCTAGGGTCAAGTGCTGGAAAAGCTTTCCATTCATTAACTTTAAATGTCACACAAATTCTCATAGAAGTTAGATAATTTACTGTAGGCCACATGACAAATATACTAAGAGCAAGGATTCATTCATTTAATTAAAGTCATCAAACAGTGTATCTACTATGTGTCAACCCATCATGTTACATGTTAAGATACAAAAAATGAATGAACATAGTGAAAAAGAACAGGAACTCTGAAACCCCATCATGAGGAGTATGAATCCTACTTTCCTCATTTATTAGCTGTGGTACCTTGGGCACATCACTGAGTCTTTCTCTTCAGGATGAGAAAACAGTAATTTCTTCCTCATAAAGTTGCTGTATGGATTTAATAATACTACTTGTAAAATACTTATTGAGGTGGAAAATTATCTTGATACAATGGTACTTTCCCAGAGGTCATGCAACAGGAAAGCTTACATCAAATTGACATGTTGATTTACAGCTTACTTATTTTTTTCCCATTTTAAACAAGTTTATTTTAAAAACAAGACATTTGATTGGGCATCTGTGGCTCACGCCTGTAATCCTAACTACTCAAGGAGGCAGAGATCAGGAGGATTGAGGTTCAAAGCCAGCCAGGGCAAATAGTTCAAAAGACCCCATCTTGAAAATATCCAACACAGAATAGGGCTGGCAGAGTGGCTAAGTGGTAGAGCACCTGTGTAGCAAGTGTGAGGCAAACCCCAATACCACCAAAACAAATAATAAATAAATAAAAACAAGACATTTGACTTGAATGGAAAAGCGATAACTTTGTGTAATTTATCCATAAAGACAGATTGCCCTACCCATAATAGCTACATACAAAAAAGCTGTAAAATTGTCTTTGATTTTCACAATAGTAAGAGAAAAGAAAAAGCCTCTAATCAAACAAGGAATAGAAGGGTTTTTATGTTGGTTTTGTTAAAATAGAGCAAAATAACTTATAATAGCTTATAAAAGGACCATAAACAGCTAAGTGAACATACTAATGGAGAAAGAATATTTCATAGAAGCAATATTTTTATCCATCCTCTTTTCACTTGATGTTGATCAGAATACAACATTGGCCATTAGTTTGGTTTTGTTTTTTTAAAAAAAAGGTGATATGCTTGTGCACATATGCCAGTTACTTTATGACAATAAAGATTGTGGAAGAAGCCAGGCATAAGGTACACACACCCTATAATTCTAGCACAGGAAGTTGAGGCAGAAGGATCAAGGCCAGCCTGGGCTACATCCTGAGACTGTGTCCCCTACTTCTCCCCCCCCCTCAAAAAAAGAAAAAGATTGGGGAAGGAGAAAATGAAAGAATAGACAAAACTAGGTAGATTGTGGTAGTCAGGGTGTAGTGGAATCAGATTGCAGTTTTCTAACTAAGAATACATTCTTGATCTGGAGGAACATAGTTCTAGAATAAAGTGGCAGACTCCTTTTTTAGTAGACACTTCGTGTGTGCTATTGGAACACATCAATTGTATTTTCAGTCTCTATTTCCAATATTGAAGGTGTGTGTGCTTCATTCATTGGCTGTCCATCAGTCTGATCAGCCTCACTGACAAACCCTGTCATTCACAAAAGGCTATCAGTATTTAACAAGTGGCATGTGCCTCTTAAACTGCACTACAGAGCCATCCTGCCCACCTTCCTTCAAATTAGTATGTCATTGTTCTTGGTCTTAACTCCTTCCTTGGGCTTTTTGGCAGCCATGGCAAATAGAAGAGTCTCCTACCTGCCACTTCACAAAAGAGGCCCAAGCCTATACCAAATGAGCACACAGCAGCACCCTATAAATAAATTTAAGACATACAGCAGGAGGAAAGAGGTAGGGTAGACTAACATATTTAGGATAGGCTGTGGGATGGGAATAGGAGGATAGTAATGTTACTGTTCATGTTTGTCTTTGCTAACTCACCCTTCCTCACTGGGGCGGAATTATGGGAGCCAGAGTTGATGAGCAAGAACGCTCAGCAGACAGAAGGAGCCAACACATAATTTGCTCTTTTGGAGAGCTGCAGAAGCAATTATGCCTGGCCATGGCTATAGCTTGCTATCAATTAATCTGCCGAGCAACAATGAGTTTTATCCGTGTTCTTAGACAGCACGCATGTGGGACCAGAATGGATCTTACCAATGGATGCTCAATTTAGAGAAAACATAGTTGTCAATCTGAAGTGACCTGATCCTTATCTTATGAATATTTAAGTTTTACTTGGTCCTTCTAGCCCTTTCTATCTATAAATAGTATTCCCATTTGTCCAATTTTATTATCTGTGTTCAACACAGGTTTGTTTTATCCTATTTTTAACATGTCTTACCAATTAACTTACTATTTGTACTTAATACATCTCATTAGATTTCTTTTCACAAGTTGTTTGCTACTCTACTTAGTGTGTCAGTCAGCTTTCTGTTGCTGTGATAGAATACCTAAGATAAACAATTTAAAGGAGGAAAGTCTTATTTTGGCTCATGGTTTGAGAGGTTTCGGTCCATGGTTCCTTGGCTCTGTTGTTTTTGGGCTGTGGGAAAGCAGAACGTCATGCCGATTCAAAGCTGCTCGTCTCGTGGTGGCCAGAAAGCAGGTGTGGGGGGCGGGGGAGGAATCATTCCCAAAAGCTCCTTAAAGGACACACCCCCAATGACCTAACTTTCTTCTTCTAAGTCCCAAAAGGCTCCCACCTCCCAGTGGTGCCATAGGCTGGTAATAAGACCTTTAGCACATGCACCTTTGGGGGACATTTAAGATCTAAATCATAACACTTAGTTTCTTTCAATCTCTATAGCAGAATTGGATATTCTTTAGTAATACAGCAAAAACATTACAGTGCTTATGACAGTATAGGCAATATATATTTCTCCCAACTTGTTTAAAGTTATGGGAGAGCAAGTATAAAAAATTAAATGCATAACTAAAACATCTCTGGAAGTAAGAGGATCCTACATTTTCACACAGTCTTTGTGGTGTATTGTATTTTTCAAAAATGGCTACAGCCATATTTCTAGACCCACATGGTCTTCTAAAACTTTGATATACCTTCCATTAGAAGGTGGAGTATATTATTGCTCCTTCTGAATATGGACTATCATTAGTGACTTGCTTCTAACAAATAGAATTTATGCCTTTCAAGTCCAAGACCAATAAATGTATTGGTACAAAATAATGACTCTAAAGGAAAATAGCTTATTCTGAGCCAAATCTAAATGACCAAGGTCCAAGAACACAGATTCAAGTTATCTTAGAAGAGTTTTCCAAAGAAAAAGAAGTTGTAACAACTTTTATAGACCAAGAACAAAGGTAATCATAAATCAATACATCTAGCGAATATACTGGTGGGCCATAACAGAAGTGAGTTAGTGGAGGAAAATCTGACCAGTGGACTGAGATGGCACCTATCTTGGTGCTATCTTTTTCTTGCTGTAAGAAAAATATGAGAAAAACAAAAGAGGTAAGATTTATTTTGGTACATGGTTTCAGGCCACGGTTGACTGGTTCCATTGCTGTGGGCTTGACGCAAGGCTGAACGTTATAGCATGGAG